TCTATTTCAGTGATAATCTGTGACTGAGAGAGTAAGAAATAGATGTGAAGATTTAATATTTCAAACATAGACTTATAACTGATAATATTTTACATCTTAAAAAGAATGAATTTTATAAAGACTCTTTATAAACTGTATAAATAAATTCAAAATTACAGCAGATTATAAAGTATTAGTAGTAAAAGCAGTCTACAGCTTCTGTAGAGTGAGATTCTTAATAAGAGAATCAGTTTAATTGTAGAAAAAGTGATTCTGATTATTAATCTCTCTATGAAATAGAGAATTAAAAAGAATATATTAAAAACAGCTATAATAGATAAAGCAGCTATTATAATATTTAAGAAGAAACTGTATATAATCTGTAAGACTAATTATTCTTTATCTAGAGAGAATGAATTCAGCTTTATCTTATGAGAAAAGTGTTGAAAAGATCTAAGAAAAGAGTGAATAAGTATTATTAAACTTACTAAGTAATGTATTACAGACTGAAGACAGAGTGAGATAATTAATCTGTTCTTATTATAATATTTTAAGTTTATAATGAAGTTGTTTAACTTCAGACTATAAGATTAAAAGATCTGAAATATCAGAGTATTCAGATAAGATATTCAAGTTATTAAGATTTAAATAATTCTTATTCTCAATAACTGTTAATTCTTACTTATCAAGCTTATGAAAAGAAATCTGATCAGAGATATCTTTATTTTCAGATAACTGATTTCAAGTCTTTTCATCAATCACAATATTCTGATAATCAGAATAATTTTTATAGAGATAGATAAGTTATTGAATAATAACTTCTTTATAAATTATGATATCTTAATAAAACTGATATTATAAGTGAAGATCTGCATTTGAATTTAAAGACTTTAATATAATAATATCAAGATTCTTAGAAAGAAATGAGAGAGTATTATAAATATAATCAGTGTCTCTAAGAAAGCTAATAATATAATCTTTATACTTATACTGATATTCTCTGACTTAATAAATTTTAATAAAGACATGTATATAGACTGATCATGTGACCGTGTCTGAGACCAGAATCAAACTTTACAGTTATTACATTGTCTAAAAGCATTACTTCTGATCATGGTTTATATTTATTACATTGATCTCAAATCACATTATTTCAAATATTAAAGATCTTAGATTCACTTTTTAAATAAAAATCTAGTTTTAAATAAAGAATATGTTTGAATTCTTAATCACATTTTCATGCTGATTTCATTATTGAGAATGACATTAAATAAGATTATGAAATCACTTCTCACTTACATAATATTATAACATAGTACTCATTTGTTGAAAATTCAATAGAGAGTATTATTAAATATCATTACTTTTCTAAACACAGATTATAATTAATATAATTTTAATTATGAAAAAAATATAAAATACAAAAAAAAAAACAAAAAATAAAAAATAAAATAAAAACAAGAAAAAATCAGAATGAAAAAAAAAACAAAGAGAAAGAAAAAAAATAAATAAAAATAAAAAAAATCAAGATTACAGAGCTGCAGTATCTTTAAAATACTCACTTTTCAGAGTCTTTATAATATTTATTATCAACTGTGTATCTCTCACAGTGAGAGTAACACAGTTATAATGAGTTATTATCTTAACATCATCTAATAAATAATCAGTATATATCTGTATAAATATGAATATTTAGAAAATATACACTTAAAAAGTGTGATCAGAGTGAACTTTGCTATCACTTGTATAATATTAAGAGCAGAACACTGAAATTGATGATCCTTCTCATCAATTTCATGAACAAGGTGTGTGAAGATAGTCTTGAAGAATATAAGATTTTCTGACTTCTGATAAAAACAGATCTCACAGAGAGACTCTATTTTCATAATATCAGAGACTGAGTGTTATTAAAAAGTATTACTTTTATATAATATATATACACTTACTGCAACAATTCACTCCCTGTGTATGTAACTGAGAATTGCAGCTTTCTCACACTGCATGACTCTCTCTGAGATGCTGGCACTGGTTTACAACTCATACAGTCTTTCAGTTCAGTACATACTGTGTGTATACAGCTCTGCATGCTGAGACTGTATTGATTATTATAATCTAATATGATACTTGCTTTTCACAGATCATGTTTTGTTTGAGAGAGAGAGAGAAAGATATAACTGTGATTTTATTAAAAGAGAATAAATAATTAGTAATATTGAATATAATTTGATTCTTCTGTATTTAAAATTTGATTAGTCTATACTTTTCAATTTGAGGGTTTTTAAGAGTGTTTTAATAGTTTTCATATCAGCTTGAACTTAGTGATGAATTGAAGAAGAAGAGAAAAGAGAGAAGAAAGAAATAAGAATAACTTATCTTTATAATATGAAAACAGAGAATCACTGCAATTATTCTCTCTAGTAATAAAGATCTGTTTTCTACATGTATCTCTGATATAGATTATATGATAACTGTATACAAAGAATATCAACACTGTATATATTGAATAAAGATGATATTACTATACAATACTGTAGCTGTTTCTGTATATCTCTGAAAGCTGTTAATATTTTCTTTATCTCTTTATATTTGATAAGTCAGTAATATAGTTCAATACACTCTCTCTTTCATTATTATTATCATCATCATCACTATTATTATCATCATTATTATTATCATTATCAACATTATTACTATCATTATCATTATTATCATCATTATCATTATTATTATTATCACTATTATTATATTATTTTTGACTGTCTCTTCCATCTTCACTCTTCTTCAACACTTATTAAAATTAATCATGTCATTTCTCTTCAAATATTCTGCAGTTCTGTGAATCATCAAGGCGTGTGAGTGCTGTCACAGATTGAAGAGAGAGAAGAAGAAGACATTTAAGTGAGAAGAGACAGATCATAAGATATATTATAATATCTTGAAGAGACTCTGTAAGAAAGCTGAATAATAATAATTTTAAGTAACACTTCTAATAGATTTAGACTGAACTAAGTATAGAAATAATATGAATGACACTGTCTATAAGAGATTGAAGAAGAAGATAGTGAAGAGTCTTATACAGTAGCAGTGAGATCAGAAGAAGTTCTGAGAATGATTTGAGTTTAAGATAAAGAGAGAGAGAGAGAAAAAGAGTATTACTGTAAATAAGCAGTAGCAGAAGAAAATTAAGAGGGTATTAAAGTAGAAGATAAAGAAGTTAAAACTGATAAGTTTTTTATTTATTAAGAGATAATAATTTTTGATAATACTTCTATTCTCTAATTGATTAGCAGAAGCTGACAGAGAAGAAGAGAATTAAGACCTTGTTCAGATCTTGAATACACTTCATGATTCAGAATATTGAGAAGATAGCTCTACTCTCTGAGCATGTCAATCTGCTTACTACTAAAGTGAAACCTGAGACAGTAGATCAGAAAATGCAGGATTTTGAGATATAGATTAATCTGACTGAGAGAGAGCAGTGAGAACTCTTCTCTGAGAAGATAGTGAAAAGAGATTTTAAGATGATTATCATCTCAGATGATAAGAAGAAGAAGAAGAAGAATGAGAAGTAAATTATAAAGAATAATAAGAAGAATGAGAAAAAGAAGAAGTAGAAAAAGTTTTTTTTCTTTTTATATTAGTTAGTTATAAGTTCATAATTATTAATAATTAAAATTGATTTTGAGTTTTCAAAAATTATTGTACAAGTTGTAATCAAGTCAGGAATAATATATATATATATATATATTTAACTATCATGATTTATAAATCACTATAATGTATAAGTATCAACATTTTTTCAACATTGATATTTATAATATTAATATATTTTTAATAATATTATCTGATAATATAATTTGATAACACTCTCTTTCACACTATTAATATATTTCAAGAAATATAACAGAGATTAATCAAGATTATTTATTTACTTTTATACATTAATGATATCTAATCTGAGTTAGTACTAAAATTATAACTAAGCTAAGAAACAAGATTATTTTCTCTTATATTAATTCTTCTTACACACATCAGTAATCAGTTATTGAAAATAAATTATTATCTTTCTTAAATTATTATCATATCTTCTGAATTCACTTCTTTCACTTCTTTTAATTCTATTGAAGATTCATAAACTCTTTAAGAAATCACTGTGAATTACAAAGTCTATATTATTTACAATTCAACACAGAATACTCTCTTTCAATTATAATGAATAATCATTTCATTCTTCACATCTGATTTCAGGTCATGAAATTTATGAAAAACTCAACATAAACATTGAAATGAACTATAAAATAATTATTAATAGATTGTATTATAGATTACTGAAGAGTCATCTCTGTGCTACAATCACTGCAACTTTATTCAGAAATAATTATTATAAACTGATCATAGCTCTGAAGAAATTTTCTGACATCTGAAGTTATCAAAATACAGATAATAAAAGAAAAATAATTAGAAAATTACTACTGAGCTTAGACTGGCTGCCGGGACCATGAATTTTACATTTGATTTCATTTGATCTGGTCTCATACATTTCTTGACATGAATCCCGCTGAGACTGGCTATCAAAAAAACATGTAAAGTGACTATATATCAGATCTTAAAATGAAACCATGACTTGAAAAAAATGAGAAAGTGGTTTCATTTGATCTCATTTAGTTTCATTCTTGATATAAAGTTGCTATTTTTAGACATTTTAAGGTTTTTTTTAGACTATTTTTAATTTTTTAAAAAGTAACACTTTTTGATAACACTTAAATGAGATTTAAAGTCATTTAAAGCAATAAAAATAATTTAAATTGAGAAGTGAAAATCATGATCTCATTTGAAAAATGTGACAAGAGTAGACAGTAAGTCTCACTGAGACAGTATGAGATCACTATCTAATGTTAAAACCGTGTAATGAGATCAGTTGAATTGGTAATGAGACTATCAAAAAATCTAGTCCTGGTCTCAGACACGGTCATACGGTCAGTCTAACTGAGCTGATAAGTTACTCTATCAGATAATAATTTTTAATAATACTAACTTTCTAATTTAAAGAAAATCATGTAAAAATAATCATGTATCAGTACTCTGATTTCACAACTCTCATCTAATAACTTCTGTGAACAATTACTTTGTATATATATATCTCTGAATCTTTCTCTTCAATCAATTGAAAACTCTGAATTCTGAACACTTCTTCAAATACTTAATTTAAATCTTCATATTTCACATCAATTCTGTCTTCAGTTCAATTTCAAAATATACTACAAAGTCAATATATAATATCTAGAAGCAGAGTTGAAGAATTATTAAAGAGTGTCTCTCACAGTGAATACATGAACTAGTACAAACAATCTTACATTTATAAGAGTTATATATTATTACATTGATAAGAACTGAACTTATCAAGAGACATTAATTGAATTTAAATCATTGATCAGTAGTCATACTGAGAATTATATGACAAAGATATTAATCCCTATGATTAAAAATAACTATTGAGATATTAGTCTCAGTCTTCTTACAATTATAACTGATAATACTGTGAATAACTATACTATGATGAAGAGCTTGAAGTAAAAATTGACTTTGCATTTCTGAAATAATAAACAAGGTCATATTTTCTGCATTGCTCATGTGATTCAACTTGTGATATAAACACTGATAAAGAATCTTAATATTGAGATAAAGAATAATGAGATGACTGATTCTTGAAATGAGAATAAGATGAAAGTAATTACTTAAGTAACTTTTACATTCACTTTATAAAAGATAATATTTTTTAACAACACTTTTTAATATTGCTTTTTAATAATGCTTTTTAATAACACTACTGTTAATTTTGAATAGATTGACTAATAATTTAAATATCACAGATTTGAAATATTACTAATGCAATTTGTATCTTCTCTAAATAATAACAATGATTTCATAATATTCAATAAATAAACAAATCAGTCATATCACTGAATATGATACAGAATGTTAGAATATAGTAAAGTTCAATATATAAGATAACTATTCAGACTCTTCAATTATATCAGATAATTAATCATTGAGTATAACACTCTGATTGAGAAAAGATTCAGATATTGAAACTTTCTGATATGAAGTGAACTCAGTTAAAATATGTGATTGATTTACTGTTTCAGTTTTATAAGATAATGAAGACAGTCTCAATCACTTATATATCAATGCTGCAGTCAGTCTGATGAGTATATAACAGTTTATTTACTTATCTTGAGAAGCAGTTGAATCACTCAAAAAGAAATTCAGTCTGAGATAATACTATAGTGCAGACTATTATTACTGTAAGGAATAAACTAGCATATTACTACAGCAAAACTGAACAATCTT